CCCTAATGATTCTCATAAATTTAGTTAGTCGCATTTATTATTTGATTTACAAACTATATTATTCTCGCTAAAAAAAATAACTTAAAACAGCTCATAAAATATTTTGGGTCTGAAGCTATTTTGTTGCTGGACACATTACGAATGCAGGACATTCATGAAATTACTTGCTTTTATTATTATTATAATTAAACACATTATTAATTTTTATCAACGTTTCTATTTGTACATATATTGTACTGTATTTTAAAAAAAATAAAATTGTTCATACATGTACAGTACCCCAAAAAGTATCGCAAGATCAAAAATAAAATTGTGCTCATTATTCAATTTATTTGATTTTTGTCAATTTATACATAAAATAACATTTAATCGGCCCTCCATTTGACTCCAATAACGCGTTAATACTTTGATGCAGTAACCCCCGTTCTAAAATGGTCACATCAATTTTTTCCCACTCCACCTTTAATGTGACCTTAAGTTCATCCACAGTCTTCGGAAAGATCCCATTTTTTTAAATATTGTCCTTTAATATCCAAATGTTCTCTATTGGGTTCAGGTCTGGAGAATTAGCCGGCCAGTCAATAATCGCGATTTTATTTTCCGTTAATCATTCCTTAATTTTCCCGCAGTATGAATCGGCGCAATGTCTTGTTGAAAAATTGCGTAATTTTCAGTTAACTTCTTAATTGTGTTCTAAAATGAGTTTTTAAGCTTTCAAGGTAAGTATTTGCAGTCAAGTTTTTTTATATTCATCACAAAAACTTAATGGTTCTTTTAATTTTCCCGTGAAACACCCCAAGCCATTACAGAGTTTCATCCACTTTTAAAGGTGGGATCTAAGCAATTAACATTGAAATTTTCTCCAGGATGCCGCCAAACTGTTGGCTGCTGTGATTGCTTTCCAATTTCAACACTGGTTTCATCAGAGAATTATTTTCGCCCTATCATAAGCTGATTTATTTTTATTTTCTTCACACCATTTGATACAAGCATGTCCGAGATATAGGGTTTCTTTGCTGCGATACATGAGTTAAGTGTAATACATTTGCAGCTGTTGATAATTGTGCTTAATCGGGCCGGTCCGCTCCGTGACCCGACCCGACCCGAAATATTTCGGATCAGCCTAAAAATCGTTATTTCTCGTTCAATATTAATTCAAATTAAACGAAAATTTGTGGATATATACAGTCAGACCTCCCTAAGTGCACCCCTCGGGACCATAGTGAAAAAAATATAAAAAGTGCATTTAGAGAGGGTGTGCATTTATAGAGAGCAAAATGCATAGAGTTCTTATAAGCTGGGACCAAGCTATACTGTGAATTTAGAGAGAATTTATATAATCCGTGCATTTATAGAACGTGCACTTAGGGAGGTCTGACTGTACACAATTACATTCCGAACAACTCTACTTAAGGCACAAAATACAAGTGTCTTAGTAAAAAATAAAAGTTATTACGAAAAATTAGTTTACGATTTTCGCATCAAACCTGACCCGACCCGAACAGAGCTTTAGTTGATAAACTACAAGTGAGGCTTAAATTGTTGACTATTTCGCGTAGTGGTACACGTTGGCTTCACGTATAAATAAATCCTTTTCTTGGTTGTTAAGGACTGGTGGTATTCCTGAACGTGGTAAGTTTTCACTTTTTCCTGTTCATTTATATTTTTTATAAAGCAACGTATAATTGTGAGGTCACGTCCTAGCAATTTTGCGATTTGAGCGGCATTTGTGGTTTCCGTGTATGTCAGAATCTTTCCTTTTTCAATTTCGTTAAGCTGCGTATAGGTGGACGTCATTTTTATACCTAATGAAATTATAATGTTGACGAAGTTGTAACAGGTAAATAAAGTGATGTTTATTATCAAAAAAAGGAAGAAAACTTGATAAATTGATTTTTGAAAAATGGATACGTGCGTAAATCGAATGTATTTCAGTTGTCGTCCATTACAACCATTAGATCATCTACAAAAATGGATTTGAAGAAAGCTTATTCGAATATTCGTGAATAAAGGAATATTTGAAGATTTTTTGAGTACAGTGCATACATAAAATCACATGATCACAGTCTCGAATTCAAAAGTTTGAACACAAGATAATTATTACAGATTATGTACGTATAATATGAAAATGCAAAACAACAGAAAAATCATAAATAACTCAAAGTTTTACTATGACAACTATCTTTTGACCTTTAAACAAAAAAATATCCTGCACAAAATTTTACATGTAGTAATATTTTTGAGTTGTCAGGTAAACAAAAGTTGGTACTTTATTCTAACAAGATTCTTTCCGAAAAAATAACATGTGTCCAAGCCACAAATTCTATCATGTAACTATCTCAGAATTTTTTAATTGGTTCCTATGGATGGCTCTGCCCAGCCATGTGGCTTATAACCTGTCTCAAATTAATATATGAAAAGTGACAAACTTTGAGTTTTTTAGATACATGTATTTTATAAAAGTGCGAAAAGGTTTAAAGTTGATCAAAATTTATGGTTGTATGCACTATATTCGTTTAATTTTAATTCTTTGCTAACAATCCTTATCGTTATGCTCTCATTGTTATACATGTACAATATTATCAGTATTACATGTATTATTACCATTACCGTTATTACATGTACGTACGTACTATGTACATGTACTATGTACAATGGATTTTGGGTGTTTTAGATAATATTATCGTTATCGTTATTATTCTTGTTGTAATTAACGTTAATATTTATCGTTGTTTACTAAAAAAAATTAACACAATAAAGATTATATCAAAATAACAGAGCTGATAAGTATAAAGTATATAATCTGCAAAATGAAACAAGCCAAAAATAATAACGATAACTACAGACCAAAATGAAATCTGCTATAATATTTTGGATTTTTATGTATATTACTTATTTTTTATTCTTAGCTTCTGGATATGCTAATTATACCTATCATGAAAATGAAAAAAATTTATTAGTAGCAAGTGGTACCTTCATCACTCCTTATAAAATCGGTATATTTCGATTAATGCGGAAACTGAATGATACTTGTTTTGAGCCAAAAATCAGAATAAGGAAGATTCAACCTGATGGAATTTTGATTCCAATTGATGTTGAATTTCAGTTTCCTGTTATAAACGCTTGCACCGGATTAATACCTTATTACAATAACGAAGTGGTACTACGCGCGATAATTATCAACGAGAAATTTATGCTTATTGTATATTTTAAAAGTATTGAATCTTCTCCTGTGAAATATACTCTTTTTGCAGCAATAGCTGACGAACGTGGTCAAATTTTATCAAGGTAAATATTTAAATAATAAAGATTCAAGATAAAAAATAATCTAAACAATGTTTACGCATATGTAGTGATATATCTCTCGGTAACGATTTTAATGTCGAAACTAGTCTACGTAAACCAGTCATTGCACCAAATATTGATTCAGATCAAGGTTTTTTAATCTATATGCGTGCTCAGAATATGAGTATAAGTGCTTGGAGTTTGCTCAGCCCTCCGTAAGTTATCAAAATTATGTTAAACTTTTATTAGTATATTACATAATTTACATGATTTTTAATTAAGTAATTCTCGAGGTGAGATAAACCGAATTGTCTATGGAAATTTCGCTAACAATAACTATACAGTTGGATGCCTATTCCAAATGGTAGATGGAGGGTAATTATTAAAGAATTAAATCATACTTTATTGTAAATTATTACTTAAAAACTTGCATTATTAGCTTTGGCTTTATAGCAAGTTCACAAGTAGTGGAAAGTCAAAATCTCACGGGTATGCGAACACTTGTTGAACCTAAATGGAAAGTATCTATACGATTTTTACGGCCAGGTGCCAAAGAATTCACAGAACCATATTTACTATATCAAACTATAGCTGATTTGGATAATATACTTATTCGTCCATGCAATGCAGCCTTTGATGGGCAAGGATATCAATGCATCTTGCAAATGATAAAAAATGATAATCAAACTTCTCAAGGGATTTATATCAAAATTACATTTCTTTCAACTGGAACACTGATCAAAATTGATAGACTTACTGACATTATTGGTTCGAATTCAGTAACTGATCTTTTGGCATTACGATATGGTGGATTCATTTTATTAAATTATGAATTTAATGAAATTAAATCGAAAATTCTCTTAGCAAAGATTTATGATAGTGATGAAAAATATAATGATACATGGGAATTTCCAGTTAATACTACTATAGCTACACAACCAATTGTTCTCTATAGTAATAAAATTTATTTGGTCTCAAACCTAAATGAACAAGGAGACTATACTATTTTATCGACTGATGTCACAAAATTTATGTCCGCAGGTAGTTCAATACGTAATCTTCGCTTTTTATACTTATTTTGAAAACTAAATTCTATATTAATTTTTAGATAATGGATATCAAAATCCAAATATTGTCTCAACGAATCCTAGTATCAACGCTATTATTCCGACAAACACGACTGATATAACAGTTACATATACTGAAAAGATTAATGTATCGTCTCGTAGTGTCGCAATCTATCAGATTTATGGAAATAACTCAATTCTTCGACAAAAAACTTCTGGTCAATCTCTTTTTTGCTATTCAATTAATGAGTATACAGTAGGAATTAAAATTTTGCGCAGTACATTTAATCAACCTGGCGCCTCATATTATGTCGTTGTGGATAGCGATTTTGTCAAAACTCGTAAATTCAATGAAGCATTGACAGGAATTGAGGCTTATGTTTGGAAATTTAACTCAAGTGAGCTATTTATATATATTTATACTTGAAAATTTACGGAAAATAGATTTATGGAATAACTTTATTTTTAAATATAAATATATAAATTAGCACAAAAAACAGAAAAATATGCTGGTGAGTTTATATGTGGTAATATATGCATAAGCAAACAAAAAATATTGATAAAAAAGTTATAAATTAAAGCATCAGCTATAGGATTGCTTCGTCTCACTCTCGAAGGAACCAATCTGTATCTCAATCTTTCATCGGACGAAAAACGGGATTTCTTAAATTATCTTAAAGAAGATATAGCACAAGTGATTCCAATTAATTCGAATCGAATCGACATCTCTCATCGCGTTGGTTACGACTATTCAGCCAAACAGCCTCAACTTTTATTAAGATTGCAGGTTAATTCTAACAATGATTTATCAAGCCGTAATGTCAAAGAAATCATACTTGACTTGAATGACTTAATTTTAAATAAAAAAATCACTGGAATTTCTCTGTATAATTACACGAATTTTTTGGATGAAGAATATGGATTTAAACAAATACGTGAGTGAAATTTATTTGTCTTATTAAATAAACTAAGTTTGCTAACTATTTATATTTTATTCATATAAAAAGCTAATTTCTGGGAAGAGTATCGATATGTAGTTTATATAGCTGGCTCTATTTTTATTATCTTATGCATTATTTTTCTGATTGCTCGTTATAAGTACAAAGAGGTAATAGTTAAAAATAGTTATTTTATGATTCTATTTATAAAATATTTAATTTTATTATATTTAGGGAAGAAGCTTTGTAGTCTTTACTCTCGCTTTATTGATTACAGACTTACTCTTGGATGTTTTATGGATTATTCGAAATGGACATGATGTACCGTGGCTTTTTCTTCCAAGGTTTGATTAAAATAGAATTATTATTATATATTAGTGCTGTTTATATCAAAATACATTGTAATTTTTCTCTTTAAACCTTAATAGTTTAATATTTCTTCTGGCTCCAATCTGTTTTAATGGACTGCTTGCTTTTACGCTCGTAATTTATGAAGCTTCTCAAAACAATGCCTTTCATAAATGGCTACACAAATACACGACAATTGCATCAGTTTTCACTTTGTTAGCATCAGCGGATGTCGAGGCTTTAACTATCTTGTGCTCAAAACTAGCAGGCCTAGAAGCTTTTTCCGTTCAGTTTATGCAGACCACTGAATCTTGGATTTTTTTCGCGCGCTGTGTAAATTTATTTATTGAAGATGTGCCACAATTTACTATTCAGGTACTTATTTATTATTTTAATTTAATAGTGTTTAATTAAAAGATATTCATTGCTATTTAACTGTTTAATAGATTTTATACCGAAAGAACACTGTCACATATGACATAATTCCTTACCTCGCGCTTTTAAGTTCTTCTCTAATGATTCTCATAAATTTAGTTAGTCGCATATATTATGCGATATACAAACTATATTATTCTCGCTAAAAAAAACGATAAATTCAGCGAGAAAAATAACTTATATAAAATATTTTGAATCTGAAGCTATTTTGTTGCTGGACACATTACGAATGCAGGACATTCATGAAGTACTTTCTTTTATTTTTATTTTTATTGTAATTAAACTTATTATTAATTTTTATCAACGTTTCTATTTGAACATATATTGTACTGTATTTTAAAAATAAAATAAAATAGTTCATCATACATGTACTTTATAGTGAACAATTGGATTTTTTATTTACTTTTCCCGAATGACTTATTTTCAGTTATATATTTGATATATTGCAGTATCTAATCGATAAAATATAAGTAGAAATAACCAGTATTTATCACACTCCAAGGCAATAATGGATTAAGAGAAAAAATATTATTTTATTTAATTAATATTAATAGTTAGAAAGTAAATTGGGTGACTATAGAAGGGTTTGAGTGTATATGTTCTAGGTTGATTTCACATCACTCTAAATAAACCTAACTAAATTTGAAATCAACGCACATTTTGTTCCAACTAACATATTCAAAGTCTTTTGACAATTATAACAGTGACAATTTTATAAAATCAACTCATGTAATTCGATCCTAAAATTTCAGCCACAAAGTTTGCCACATGATTAAGTGCAGTGTCTTCGTTATAACGACATACAACCAATCACCGATTATTAGTAGATCCTACTGGTGCCGATGTGGCCAATCTCGTGGCTGAAACTCCTATATTTAGACAGCGATTTGGTTTAAAAAAAGCTTGTCAAAACTAATGGAAGAAAAATTGACCGCAAACATTCAAGTTTATCTCGTCGTATATAGGAAAGTTACAACTCTATAATTTACTAGGATTTATATTAAAATGTAGGTATATTTTAATTATTTGTCTAATCATTGGATGGAAAACAAAATATGATTAAAATTATTTTGCTACGAATAAAAGCAGATAAAAATCGAGCGGTTTTTTTTTTAGTATAGAGTAGCGGCTGATAATATCAATGACTCGTTCGCTCAATGCAAAGTAGGAAACTTCTATCGATTTGATGAAGGAACAGAAGTCAACTACGAATCTGCATTTTCATACCATCAGAAATCAGCATCGCTTCTCTCTTGGTCTTTGCTACGAAAAAACATGCGGTACAAATCCAACAGCAAGCAAGCATTTGAACTTTATAAATCATCAGCAAGCGTCGGATTTCCAGAAACTCGATATATGCTAGCCAACTGTTATTATTGTGGATATGGAACACGGAGAAATCTTTTTCTGGTATTTTTTAGCAGCGGAAGAAGACAATGATCGTGCCAAAATTGCGATTGGATATTGCTTTCGGAACGGTTTGGGATTGGTGAGGAATATTTATGTGTCGATAAAATGGTTTCAAGAACCGATAGAGACTTTGAAGGATCAGATAAAGCTTCTATACGTCTTAGTAGTATATTTGACGTCATGGGTAAAAAGCTAGAATATGGAATAATTTTAGTAATTTACTAATAAGCTAGATTTATTAGAAAAATAAAGTTTTGTTTTAATTGAAAAGAAAATATTTTTCTTCCAACAATAAAAAGGGTATAATAAAAAGAAATATAAAATTAAAGATCACGTATGAATTAACTAGGAGTTTTAATGATTTATGCTAATGACGTCGTCGTTTTCTCTCGCCGACGGATATAAAGTACATGCAGAAGTTTCATATGAAATAAACTAACAAAGAAAACGACCAGTATGTGTTTTCACGCGGTTCTAAGAAATTTTATAATGCCTTAGCGTGTCCATGTGGAGTGTTCAACTTACTGCATTTTTGCGCAGTAATTGATTCTACAAATTCTGCATGTGTAGCGTGTATGGCCACCTGACCAATAAAATTACTTGAATACATGCGTAAGTAGAAACCACAATTTTATATATCATCAATAGCGAATCAAAAATTAATTCACAAATATGACCAAGAAAGACCTAAAATATCATATTTGTGTATTATATTTTGACTTTTTCCTATCGACATAAGTCACGCCGATTCTGTGAATTCTGCAAGTCTGTCGCAGAATCCTCAACGAAGAAAATTGATGTGATGTTGAAATCCCAAAAAATAAATATTTATACAACCAAACTACGCAATCTCCTCCAGAAAATGAGCAGAGCGGGATGATGGTTTGAAGAAATTTTATCACTGCATCGTATCAAATACGCCGATTGTAACGCTCAGTTGTCTATAAGAGATTGAAAAATGTAATTAAACGACGAAGAATCAGTTATGAAACATGTTGTAAATGAGGTGATATTACTGGATATTTTTTTAGGTCGTATAGTATCGAAATTAAACACAAAAACATGAAATTAACTCTGTAAGCTTTTTATCATAGCAAAATATAAATGTTAAAAAATTAATGAGTTTTGTTAAGAATAGTGCAGAAGGGAATCCTTGAGGAAAATTTGCAAGACACCAGATATGTAAATAGCAAAATTATGTTCTTGTACTCGATGAAAAAAAATTCCGTTTGAACCTCAATCCAAAATTTTAATTATTGACCGTCAAAAGTTCGTTAGAGTTTTACATGTAGATAAATAATTTAATTAGATAATTGACTAGCTCAGTGTTGAACTCTAAGGAAATATAAAGAAGTTTCGTCTTACGTCAAACTTTCCAACTGAGGTTATTATTCGTGTTAATAAGGAAGGATGGATAAACGAAGCTGAAATGTTGTGGCGGAACGAGAATGTGTGGTCGCGACGAACACCAATCCGCAACCTTTATCGTGGTTCAAAATTTATGGAAAATTGAAACATGAAATAAAAGATTATATAAAATCCTTGCGGGTATTTCATTACAAGTTACGACTGAGAACAAGCCTTAAGACGATCAAGAAAAAGAAAATTAACAAACCCTTGGAAAACGTCAACAAGAATCCCCTCAATATTTGTTAAACTCGTTCTTAATGATGAACAAGAACTTTCTAGTAGACAATATAAAGGAGACATAGCAATAATAACATAAGAGTAACAGTGACAAATGAAGCCTTTCCGATCAAGACAGTAATACCTTGACAACACCAATTTTGGTTAACTATCTTTTAGATTATAATTTGAATGGAAACTACGGAAAGTTCTACGATTATTGCAGACAACGACACCTTGACAACGACACTTTTACGCCTCAATCAGGAGTAGAATATACGTAATTTGCAAAACAACGAACATAATTACAAGACATCACTGATTGGGGATATTCCGAATAATGACTTCTAAAAATATTTAGGTTTTTCCTTCCGGAAGCTTATCAAATATTGTGTACCTTAGTAATGATACCACTGTTGATAATAATGATAATATCAATCTCAATCAATAATTAAGGATAATCAAGTCTAATTGAAAAAAATATATAGTATACAATATTTTGTTATTAAAACAATCGCAAATAGTATTTGAACTATCATTCGGAATGAACTCTTTCGGGCTTCATTTGTCTTGTTTTTTTCACTAACTGCGAAAAACTTGTAAATTCGAAGTTTATTGAAGAATTTCTTGACAAAGAGAACAATACTATCTGTTCAGCGTCATTGTGATATTGAATTTATTGCTGCCAAATGAGACTTAGGTCAAAATTGGTCCGAGCGGTCGCATGGAAATACAATGTCAAAAACTGACGCGTAAAAAATATAATGTCAGAAACTGATGTATTTAAAATATATTTTATATATATTACATGTATACAGATTGTTGTCATAAAGGGAATACATGTACTTGAGTGTTCCGATAGAAAATGTACACGTACTACGTAAGTGATTCATGAGATGCGTGCGCCGCGCTGCCAATCGATGATCTTAAGTAGAGACAGAAACCAGTTCCCGCCAAATTATGTCGTTGTTTTAGATTGTACAAATTTCGGGTTTATGCTAGTGATGCAGATAAATTAAACTTTATTATCGTAATAGTGACATTTTTTCACATTGTTTACAATTTTGGTAAGAGAAAAGCGACAGGTGCAGAAAGTCTAAGGCTTTCATCGAACTCGAACTTATGCGAGTGTTATGCAAGTACCATAAAGAAAAGCTAGTTTGTGAAATTTAATATTCCTAAACAGTCAATACCCAATTAAATAGTAGTAAATAAACAACGGCAATAAAAAATATAATGACTAAAAAATCATAACGACTATAAAAATAATAGTGACAAAATTCCATATTTAATCTCATTTCCACCAAAACTAGTAATTAGTCGTTGTTTCAAATTGCCGCTGTAATTACTTCGAAATGTTCCTATTGTTACAAAAGCTTTTCGCATAAGAAAGTTGGTTGTTGTTGTTTTATCAAATCGGCTTTCACTTCACTTTAGTCGTTGTACATGACAGCGACCATGTCTAAAGGCATACATGACATGTTATCAATAGAAGATTCTCTTGAAGTATGCAGATATGTTAAACTTTATTATTGTCATAGCGACAATTTTCCACATTTGTAAGTTTTGTTTTACCGGGTAAAAATAGCGATAGGTACATAAATTGCTTTTATTGAACTCATTTATTTTGAACTTATGCGAGTTTGTATGCAATTATCCTTGATTTGCCATAAAGAAACGTGCAGATATTTTTTTGTAGTAAATAAACAACGGCATAAAAATAATGACTAACACTATTACAAAATTCTATATATTTAATCTTTTTCATTTCCGCCAAAACTGGTAAATTAGTCGTTGTTTCTAATTGCTGTAATTATCTCGAAAATGTTAATTGACGCATCTATTGTTATCGGCTATGTCAAAGGCTTTTTGCATAAGAAAGTTTGTTTTTGTTTTATCAAATCGGCTCTCCCTTTTACATGACAGCGACCATGTTACATGACAGCGACCATGTCTAAAGACATGCATTTTATGAATAATTTATACTTACTTTATCAATAAAAGATTCTCTTGAAGTAGACGATATATATTTCAGTTTGATTCTTGATCATAGCGGAAATTCTTATATATAAAGCAATCGAATAGGACGTCAAAAATTGGAAAAAAAACCAACAACCAACTTGTAAAATATGGACAGCTTTACATTCATCGTTGAGTGTGGCGACACTACAACCATTTCAAATGAAGATTTTACAAATCATCCGTGCGATCTGCACCTAAGCGTGGATGAATTGATAGCTTCTGTAAACAACGAAAATGCTACCAATTCTCATGGAGAGCCTCCTCGTCCAAATAATTCGTTTTTGCTGTTCAGAAGAAATTTCACCGCTGGAATTGTCGGGATAACCAGAGACCAAAATTTCATTGCGGAGGTCTCAATTCTTGCAGCTAAGGCTTGGAAGGAAGCCACACCGCGTGTAAAGCAGTTCTTTGGTGCAATGGCCGAAAAGGCAAAAACGGAACATAAGCGCCGTTTCCCCGGGTACAGATTCAACCCTAAGAGACAAATACGGAAACGATCTCCTAAAAAAGTATCTTCCAAAAAAGTTGTTGTTCAACAAGAGGAACAACATCAATCATTTTCGATTGATCAGCACTCTGATCAATTTTTTATATTTGATCAATCTGATGAAATTTTCACTCAATCTGTTGATCAAAATTTCCCATAATTCCAAATTTCTACATATCTATTTTTAAACATAATTTCATATATTATAAGCATTTTTTTTTGATTTTAAGAAACATACATGTATATGAAAAAATTGATATCGATGTCATTATGCGTAACGTACGAATTAAGAAATCAATAATTTATATAGTACATATATGTATATGAAAAAATTGACATCGATATCATTACGTATGTGTAACCTAAGAATTCATCAATAATTTATAGTGTTATATAACAAAAACATAGTCTGATAAACAAATATATGAAACAACAATTAATACAATAAAATATGCATAAATAAAATAAGGATTTGTTTTAGTAAAATGCAGAATGAATATCGATATGTAACAATAGTAGTACATTCAATTATAACACATCGCTATGATCTAGCACAACTACTATCAAATTTAAAATTATCTTGTATAAAATCTTGCAGATATTTGCTACATACTTATGTATTAAATAATCCAAGTTTCGTTCAAATATGCACATTTGTGTTGCAAAGTAGAAAGTTACTATTGATAGAAGGAATAAAGGAGAAATTATAAACTCGAACAAAGACGACACATTCTTCTTTGTCGATAGAATCCAAGGAACAGCACCAATCAATAACAAATTTCAGAAACTATTGTAACTTATTAAATGTTATTAATGATCTTTTAGAGGGATACCCACTTGCAATTTGATTCGATCAGTCATTATTTGGAATATTCGAGAAGAGCACGTGAGTAAAGATGATACATGTAATTCACTGCAATTTGTAGATCTGCTATTTTTACCAGCGCGAAAATCCCCGATTCGCAAATAGCCACATCGAGAATAAACGTCCGAGTAAAGATGCGTGTAAATGAAAACTAGCATATAATTGAATTTAAATATATACTTATGTGAATATTGCAAATCAGCTAAAAAGCATTTATTTGTTCAAGACCACACAAACTAAATTTTTAGTTTCGACAAAATGCACCGGGCCCCGGATGTTTCTCAAAAATTTCTTAAACATAAAATTTTTATAATTAATTTCATCTTATATGAATCCACAACCCGTCTCGTGAGATTTTCGATCAAGTCCATGTGGATCGGTGATTTCTTCCAGAAAAATAGACAGATATTCTATTCCTATATTTCAATTTCTCTTAATAAATTTTCATCAAATTATGTGTTATAGGATATTATAATTCGAAAAACAAAAAATAGTACTAAAAACAAAAAAACAAATTATTACAGATTTCCTTGAAAATTTATCTCATAAATTGATATATTGATTAATGCCATGTAGACTGAAGATGAGCGCCGAAACCATACGATGCTAATTGGTACACAACTCTATAACCGAAACCAATGACAATTGAGTGTCACCGATTTAGGCGTCCAATTATAATGTATACTACAAATATAGGCGGTACATGAAGAATTTTACGAATATTGTCACCAATACATCTGGTGTATATATATATGTGTGTGTGTGTGTGTGTGTGTTATAAGCGGGAATGGAATATTGATGAATTTGGAATCCACTTAGTGTGGATATAGAACCTTTCGGCCACACTAATATTATCACCGGCACTAACCCATTACCCTTATTTTAACTCTAGTCGCACCCCATCCTAATTTGGGTTGATTCCATATCCACATATATTCTGTCCCCCTTACAACATATATATATATCATATGATTTTTCAGAATAAGTAAAGTCGAAATTGTCTGTATCTCAAAAGATAAAAAATATTTGTCATGATCGTATTGGATAAGAAAGGATTCTATTTTTAGAATAAAATTTTAGAATTGAAAGCTGGTCTTGATAAATAAATATTATGCTATATAATGCAGGCAGCCTAAAGAGCGCCAAAATAAACTGCTGCTAATTTGTTGATTGTTGATATTATTTGTATTAAGATAAAAATAAGTTACAATTATAGCATTTCTTAACAACAAAAATTGGTACTTATTTTTATTTATTTTAATATAAACAATATTGAGAAACTAATAGATTTATTAACGCTCTTTAGTTAGCCTGCACTGTATATAATATTTTAACTAGATTTTACAGTATTTATATCCCACATTTATATGTCAGCCGCATAATATATTTAGTACAATTATTATGCACAATAACAGACCAGACCCAATTGAAATCATAAACTGCATTCATTAAAAATATGAAAATCTGTCCAATTAATTCAAAAAACTTGAAATATACGCGCAAAGAACTCCTGTTTCGAAATTTGATATGGATCCAATTATTGCATTAATATAAATCATTTTTAAATAAGGTTACATTGATATTTTTTACTTCAAAAACTTTTCATTCTTTAGTTTCTTCTTTAGAATTGATAATAAATGGTAAATGATCAATGACAAATGATAACCAAAAATAATCGAACATCGCAAAATAACCAAACTGAACATCATAAATGAAGATCCCGATTTTTTGTGAAATCAGTCCGTTCGATACTAATTACACGTATTTACCAAGATCATGAAAATTTTTTTCATTCGGGCGTCTTCAAAAAGGTATGGATGACAATCGAGATATGCAATAACGATCCAAATAGAGTAACTTCGAGAAGACTCGTTTTCTTAATTATATGATAAAGGCTAATTTAAAAGCTGATCGTGTTATTAATAATATATAATCTTCTATTCATTTAAGTGATTATTTTTGGCTCGGTATTTATGTTTCTATATTAGTTTTTTTTATAAGTGTGTGAAGTGTGGGGATAGCCGAATTTTTATAATGATTAATTCCGAATTTTAATAATGAATAATTTAGTGTAACTCTTAAAGATTTAATTAGAATTTCAAGTCGAAAACTTGTAAATAACAATATTTGTGAAGTATTGAAGGTAACATCGTCTCATATTAAACCTTAGGTATGCCGGTTTAAATGGTGTTGTCTTTTAATCCTAGTGCATGTAAAGTTACTCTTTGATGTACTGACTCCTAACATTTTTAATTATTTTACACCTAATTCTTAATCGGAACTATACGGATCGATACTTTGTCAGCAAATCTAACAGGTTAAAACCGGTAATGTAAATGTGTTACGAAGTTACTTAAAGCTTTGTTTCGCTTTAAACTTGCAGTTTGCACAAACATTTCTTCTCTTTAGCCAACCCCCTCCTGAATTTTCTTATATACACACACACACCTCGCCCTTTAAAGAGAACATATCAAACTATCCGCGTTTTTAATCTGACATTCTTTTTTATTTATTTTTAATTTAACATGAAGACTTCTAACGAAAATAAAACTAATAGAAAAGCTTGGACAAACCAAGTATTAACTCTATTATTTTATTTTCTTGAACGTTTCTTGTATTGAGTTACATTGATATTTTTCATTCGCGTAGGAAGATGACCAACTACGACAACTATTTTCTATGCATAAGCGAAAATGGCGAGTCATTGCCTGTGCAATGAAAAGCGGTCGAACTGACAAACAAGTACGGGATAGGTATTTGAAAAAGTTTATATGTATGTTTACCATTATTTTTCCTTTCTTTAAATCTGATAAAACTTATTTTTACAAACTTCTCAGATGGGTCCATCACCTTGACAGGAATAGTAAATAAAATTTTTTAATGTGTTGACAATTAGTAATGACATCCAAATTCTAACTATTCTTATGCTTATTGTTAAAAGTTAACCTGTCGCCCTTAAGTCCCATAGAAAAAAAAATAATCGTCGAAAAATGTCGTACAATTGGCCATAAATGGGCTGAGATTGCTAAATGCTTGCCCGTGAGTGGGCGAACACCGCTGATGATCCGCAATTATTGGCACAGTCAGAATCGTCAAGCTTTTCACCGTATTCGAGAACGTATGTCTGTAAGTATTCTGTTAAATTAGACTTAATGATGTTCAAACTCCAAATAATTCGTTTACACTTCGAGCACACACCAATATTTTCGCTATTACAACCATAATACTTTTATGTCCCTTAAGATTTTAATGTTAAGATATTAGCTAAACTATCGTTATTAAGGTTTCTCTCTTATATTACTACTATTTAACGAAATAGATAATTAAGGGAATTTAGTCGAATTTTCTCAAAAATGAAATTCAATATGCGTATGAAAACTAAAGATAATAAATTTAAGAATTCTTAAATTAGGGTGTAAAAATTATACCGAGTGTTTCGGTTTTCATTTTCCAAGTCTATTACTATTATTGTCGTTTTGTCAAGAACTTTTGTTCGTGATGGAACTCGAGGTCAGTCTTTTCGATCACGCATGTCTAAAAACAAGAATGCAAAAGCAAATAAACAGAACGTTAGAATTAATGAATACAACAATGAGATTTACTTGTTTGCAGAGCTGAAATTGTGGCTTATTTTTTTTACCTTATGTAATGCAAAAAGAATGAATCGCAAGGTGTATAGTTAATCGTAATTGGAATAATCAATTAATAATGTTTCATTATATAATACGTAAGGAGCTTAGGTCATACAGACAAAAATTTTTTGGTTTCATAACACATGACTATGTAGAATGACCCGGCTTTTATTTTTAAAATCAAAAATTTATTTATATAAAATCGATTTCAGTCCGGTAACTTCGGGACGCGAATATCTCACGATCCAATGATCGGATCGAAGCGATCTAACCATCATTCAAACTCTCCAGTTAAGGAAAATCTAATAATACAGTGGCTCACTTTTGAAAACGTACGCAGAAAAAAAATGGCGAAATTCGAATATCTCGCCATTGAAAAATCATCCACGACCAAAAGCAATTTAATTACATTTATTAAAATGTCAAGTATCATTTGCAATTGAGTTTATTGTTCGATATAATAAAAATTTTAAAATATTTCGCGTATGATATAATATGACCTATTTAGACGAAAATATTTAAGGACCAATTTCTCGTTAAGAAAATATTAGCAGCTGTCAAAAAAAAATTTATACATTACTAAACTAAAATTACCGATTTATACTTCTCCCTTTTGCTTGTATCACTTCCCTAACCCGTTCTTGCATGAATTCGATTAATCTTTTGCAGAACACTATTCCATGCAATTTGTAATTTTTCCCACAGTTCATCTCTATTGGGAAGTCTCCGCATACAAATATCAACTTTATTCTATAAATTCTCGATAGGGCTCAAGTCAAGAGATTGAGATGGCCAATCGAGAACTGCAATCTCATTTTTGTGAAACCAATCTTTCACTTTTTTGGAAGTGTGTTTCGAATCATTATCTTGCTGGAAAAGAATTTCATCCTTTTCCAGTGTAGTTTCCAAAAGTGAACCTGACAAATTTGTATTTAATATATCAACATAGACATCTGCATCCATCTTGTTGTCAATTTTTCAGAGTTCACCAACTCCATCAGCACTCATGCAATTCCATATCATAATTGAACCATCACCAAACTTTACTGTTGGTGTAATATGCTGATCTTTTAAAGATTCACTGAGCTTCTTCCAACAATATTTCTATCTGTCTGATCCAAAGATCTGGTACTTGTTTTCATCAGATCAGATTATTCACCACCAATCATTAATTATCCAATTTCAACATTTATTTGCTCAGGCAAGTCAGTATTTTCTGTGTGTCTTTGTGAGCAGCAGTTTTTTGCATTTTATTCTGGTGAATAATCCATGTCTTCTGAGTATACACCATATGCTCTCCACAGATAAATTGACTCCTATGTCAGTTTGAAGTCTACATTGAACTTCGACAGCAGTGGAGCATTTTTTAGACATTATCAATCAAATAGCAATTTGTTCATAGTGATCAGAAAGAGTGTGCAGATGGCTGGGTTTTGGCTTATCTTCAAAGTTCCCAGTTTCTTCTTTTTTCTTGAAATATACATGAAACTGAATCTAAGCTTACTTGTTCTGATGCTGTGATTTCTCACACTGTATATTTTTCTTGGTGGAATGTGTATATGTGGGAGCATTTTGTAAGTGAAATTTGAGGCATTTAATTAAAAAAAAGTGATTAATATTGTTATTGGAATGGGAGAAGTGTGTTAATTATAATTAAACCAAAAGAAAAGCTGTTTATACTGAGCTTGTAAGGTCTTATATTCGTTAATGGATTCAGTCATAATGTATCATACGCGAAAATAATTAAAAATTTTTATTATAATCATATCAAACAATAAACTCAATTGTAAATGATACTTGGCATTTTAATAAATTGCTTTTGGTCATGGATGATTCTTCAATGACGAGATATTCGAATTTCGCCATTTTTTTCTGTATATATTTTCAAAAGTGAGCCACTGTAGTTAGATCATTTCGATCCGTTTACTGAATCACGAAATATCGCATCCTGAATTTAGGAAAGTGACAAATATTAGCTAATATCCATTTTGTTATAGGGTCCACCCTCCTAAGATTTCATTTAATGCATGCACGTGAGATTTTATTACTATCTGAGATTTTGTCATCCCCTTCCCCCTCCCTAGAATATTTGTTACTCTCCTTATTTAAAAAGCTCATGTAAGTCAGTCTTTGAGTCTGCTTGAGTTGAATTGCTTTTGAGTCTGAGTTTAGCTCAGAGGGACTGTCTCCCAATAGTCACATGGCTATATTGGAGTAACCACACACACACACATATATATGCCAATTGTTTTTTCAAGAACAAACGAATTGACATAAATGACGTTGCTTTCGTAATAAACGTGAACAAAGGCATTCGTTAAATTAGGTAGATAAGATTATTTATTTATAATAACTTTTGAAATTAATAATGCAAATTAATTTTAACGATAACATATACAGAACAATCATTTTCAAAAGAATTCAACAAAACCTCTGGGAAACAAAAGGCATTCGATAAATTAGGTAAAATTATTTATTTTATATCATTGTCAAGACGATTCAACAAAAACCTCTGGTAAAAACTTAGTTAGTATCAATAAAGCGATTGTGTTTAAGAATTTTGAACTATAAAAGTATCATATCTTCAAAATGTTTAATTTTAGCTCGTTATTTCCCACATCTTCCGCAAGCTCGCCAGTTTCTACGTTTTTCACAATTCCAAATCCATTTGCTAGTCTTTTAGCTAAGACCTCTTTTGAAGATGTTCAAGTTCTGTCGAAAGTGATAATAATCTTGGAGAAGAGTCTCAAATAATGTAATCATTGTTAATATAATTCACAATAACCAATTAAAAATAATTAAAAAATAAATGTAAACCTGCTCCTGTTCGTGATTATCTCGATGTACTTGAAGATGGTTCTCACAATTGTAATCTTTGTAGTAATAAATGGAGTACATCATTATCAACAATAAAGCGGCATTTGAAAATAAACACCAAAATATTTTCCAAGATATTCGACGAAATTTGCTTGGAGAATAGATGAAAAAGTTAGCATAAATTAGAAGTTAAATACATGTAAATTCACTTATCTTTTGTATTACAATAGCTATCATAGGTGCACGTGAATGATAATCGTGTGTCACATGACTGTGCTCAATCCTGTCTTTTAGAGCGAACCTCAATTAAAACTCGGCTTCTGGAGCTGATCGAACTGAACCAGACTTTTAACTTACTGGACTAAAAAAATAATCGATTTTTACTTGTATGATGCTTTTACGATACAATATTAGACTGCGCCTCAAAATTTAAATTTCATAAACTGGTTTTGATGACCCGGCCGGGTTATGAAAACCAAAAAATTTTTTTTGTATGGCTTTATTAAAAACACAATAATTTTCATATATTTGTTGCAAATGGGAATAGGATATTGGTGGATTTAGAATCTTTTGGCCAAAGTTAATCTTATCGCCAGCACTAACCCTTACCCCTATCCTAAGTTGGGCCGATTCCACACCCATATATATCCCGTTTCCACTTAGAACGTATTTACAATTGAAAATTTTATTTTCTGGATAACAAATTTATAAATTCAAAATATAAGTCCAAAATATAAGTCCAATGGATCACATTCTTCATACGAGTTATTTGATTTCGATTCTTTCAATTTAACATTAACATAATAACGATAACAAACGGTTTCGGAGTAATTACAATGCAAGATCACTGTGATTGGATTGGCCTCCCAATTTTTCGATTGGATTTTTAATTCAGATCTCTATGTGAACACATGTACTAGCATTAGTAATAGTCATCCGTTTGACTACGAACAACTTTTGGCTTGCAACTATTATCATTAAGTGCATTGACCAGCTATTAATGTTTGATCCGTAATATATTGAAATTGAAATAAAAATAGCTGCGATGGAGTTTCATCTTCTCGTCGTCGAATATTATGCATCAGTTTCTGAAAGGAATGCAATTCTCCTTATCAACGCAGAATATACAATAAAACTGTTTTTATATTATTTAGCTAAGCATATGCCTTACATAATATTGCGCAAAATCCGGTGTTACCTCATTTGGAAGGGAAATGAGATAACATAAGCGACGCCGTTGATTACAACTCGTCGCTTAAGTTCAAAGATGTTTTGACCTATTTTTTGAGCACGGGCCATTCAATTGGTTATCTGCATTAATGGTTTTGTCAGCAAAGAAAACAAAACCCATGCGGCAAATCGAATCAAACAATTTCAGAACCCGTATTATTTTATATTTTCAGGCTTATAAAAAGATTACAGTAAAGATGTTAATATCTTCACGAGCGAATGATGAAATCACCCCTGAATATATTTTTGAAGATAAATGAAATTTCCTTTCAGACAATCACTACCATCAGATCTTGCATAACGAAAAAAAAGTTTTCTTTCTTTCTACGTTTCACAAATTGGTCAGTGCAAGATTGGTCAGAACAAGATTGGCTAGTGCAAAATTGGTCAGTGCAAGATTTGTCAGAACAAGATTGGTCAGTGCAAATTGGTCAGTGCAAAATTGGTCAGTGCAAGATTAGAATATTATACAACGTCTTTTTGTTTCTATATTAACGTTTACCTTTTATTGTCATTATTTCATAAAGGATAAAATTAAAATTATAATACTTTTGCTATAGTAAAAAAAAGTATTAAATTTTTGCGCTGTCGGTAAGCGAAGGGAAACTCTGGATTTGCATATAATAGCTAAAGTTAACTTATGCTATCGTGCATCTAAATAGCAAGAACCTAACGATAATCGTACACGCTATAAGCAGGGATTATATGATAAAGAACAATGGTTTGTTTGTGTATGGTAAACAATGAGTGAATGAATGATAAGGAATGGCGATAAGATATGCCTATTTTGGTGTTTCGTTAAAGCGGAGGTGGGGTAACATTTTTTCAATGGTGAAAATTTTCAAGACTACATGTATTTTTTATTGTGAAAAAAAGACATCAAGTCATATATGTTCCATTCCGCATTCAGAGATTTATACACACTCTATAATGGGCTAAGCCCGTTTTTTATTTTCTTAGGAGATAAACGATAATGTCAAATGACAATAACTCATGATAAGAAAATACTATTGATATTGATATTGATATTTGGATTTTCGATGTGCATTTGCATGCAGCCTATTTAAGGGTTGGCAACGTACGTATAAACAAAACGTGACGCTCACTCATGACATTTGCCAACACACATATTTCTTGGTCGAGCATTTTTGGCTAACCAACCCAAGAGACTGGCGAGCAAATTTGGGTCATTATTGGAAGAGTGCTTTAGCCATATGCAATTATGCATAATGTGAAATTAATAACGTTTTTCTTGTAAATGAAAAACACCTATTGTTCTTCCCCCGTATCTTTGCATAGATTAATTGATCGAATTATCCAAATTTCTTTTTGTCTTTTTGTCTGGATGCCTGTTTCGTACATTTAATGTAGGAGATGAATAATGTAAGTTATCATGCGTAAGTTAACGCGAGGTTTAAGAAGGAAGAAGAATAATGAGAAAAAATAGAGTTTGAGTGAAAGGGAATTATTACTAGAAGTTATCAATCATTGTGACTGCATACACCGTATAATTTCTCCTCGTTTCAAGACGCGCGTTCTCGATTGTTCGATTGAAGTGAAGCCACATGCTCATGCTAACTTTATTTCGCTCCTTCTGTAAGCTGTCAATGATGTTAACTTTTTATCTGTCACAACACTCACTCAAGTAGTTCGAACTTTGGATTGTTCGCGTCCGCTTTAATTTGAGAATTATCGATGTCATTTTTCCCAATATTGTTGAAAAGATGCAACCATTATGTATCATCACATCCCTCGCGTTGGGCGTTTTTCATGTACGTGATTAATTTCATTAATCGAAAAATGTGACTATCATTCAAATTATTAACATGCTACTCTCATTGATCAATTGAAAATCCATAATATCACAATGAATATAAAAACCCATCGTAACTCCACTTGCGATCTATACCTTTCAACCACAATAAGATTATTTAATTTCATTTACGTTAGCAAAGAAGTTTTTCTCTTGAACATTCACTGCCATGTCATCACAATCAAGAAAGAATTGGTCTCTCGAAGTAGTAAAATTCATACAAAAAATTGAGATTCGACTTGAATTATCTCCTCATCTTTTTTAATGCTCTTCCTCTCTATCAATGCATTAACCTTATAGGAAGACGAGGAAATTAAAAAACTCTTTTCAATCTATAACGGGAAATACAATTTAATCGCGAAACATTGTCGTAGTGGTAAATCACCAAAGCAAATCCGCGATAGGTATGCATTTATTCTTATAAAAACTACTTTTCTCATGGAATTTTTTAAAGTAAAACCTTTCTGAATTTTTATTTCTAAGATATGTAAACCACCTCGATCCAAGTAGTAAGTATTTTAAAAATTAAAAATACACATTGAAAGAATTACTAACAATATTGTTTTATACGCGATAATAGTCGATAATTCGCCGTTAACATTTCAAGAGAAGATGATTATACTGAAGATGGCCAAAGAATCTCACTCCTGGAGCAAAATACAAAAAGCCCTCCCAAACCCTGGTAGGACAACGCTCCTTTTGAAAAACTTCTACCATAATGCTAAGCGAAAAAATCAGCATCTTAGAACGAACCCTATGGATGTTGAATTATTACTAAATTAATAAATGAAAATATATAAAACTCGTGTTGTCACATAAGCATATAATAGACGTAATTAGAGACATTATGTAATTAATATATAGATTAATATTAATATAAGATATACCGATACAGCTTTTTTATTAAGTAAAAGCTTTAACATTATTGACATTTATGTTTTAATTGTACATTTCTACTAGACATTCTAAAATGGCCATTATCGCTAACAACAACATACATGTACTAACAATGTATATTAGCCTAAATTTAGCTATGTTGTATACCGATACACATCAAATCTGTACCCCGTTTGTCGATCATCGACTAAAGCAACCAATAGGCAAGTGAACAATGCGAAATGTGAAAATATTGATACGGGGAAAACCTTAAAATTAACTGGGGCACAGATTCGATATTCGCGCTGTACGCACATTTGATATTACAAATGTTTAACCTTAACGTATTTAAGTATGTATGTAGTAAAAAACTAAATACATGTATAAAGTGAAATTGCTATTATACATGAAAAAGTTTCTCGACATCTTATTTACTTCAATTTTTTAGAGACTAACATTCGTCTTTCGGTTTTTGTTTAGATATTCTTGAAAATGCATGTAAACATCTCTTTAAAGTGCTGTATCAAAAGAAATTCATGAAAAAAGCTACCATTTGGCGTCTCTTCCGTACTGTTGTGATTAATAAAGTCTAACCACCCTAAAGTGGGCGACTTTAGGGTGATTAGATTTTATACCGATCTTTAAATTGATAATCCTGACCAAACCAAACTATCGTTATATATACTGCATTTTTGTACCTGGTTAGAATTACGGGAAGAAATGTATAAAACAGGGTCCAATAGAATTATCATTTTTTGTTATACCAAAAATATCACCTTTAATAAAAGTAAAAGTGACTTACTCAGTACGTACGTAGTGATTGTATCGGTATGGTTTTACAAATTTTAAAATACGATATAACGATAATGCGTGCCAAATAAAATCACTTGTTTCTGGTCAAAAATATATTCTATATTCTTTATCCATGAATCACATTCAACACAAAGAAAATCTAGACTCGCTTAAAAAATGGGCTAGCGCTAACGCTAACAATAAAACCGTTTCTGGCTAGTGTTATGTTGGCGATTATGCAGGGGAATCTTTTTTGTTGCATGCATTGTAAAAATACTCCATATCAATATACAGGGATGGCGTTGACTTTAAACACACAAAAAAATACACAGTACGTACCAAAAACTCCTTATCAGAACAGTTACGATTATATTTTATTTATTCGCAAGTTTAATCATTTTTTAGCTCGAAGATATCGGTATACGTAGAATTAAAAATTACATTCCAAAATGCCACTGACTTCATTAATTTGCTTATATCGAAATCATTTGCGAATTATAAGTTAACATTAAAAATGATGAAGACTAATACTTACAGTCAAAGCTTGAGATAACGATATGACCGAGATAAAAAATAAAAATTGTTATACCGAAGGAAATTTTCTTAGAAGTGTTTTTAGGTTGTCGTCATTATATCGAGATTTTAATTAGTTATTATAACGAAGTATCGTTATATCGAGCTTTGACTGTATAACACGTATTAAATAAAATACCCGTGTTTTTCCGTTTTGTTTGTACACACATGATTCTATGATGTATGTGTCCTATAGGAATTAGCCTTCCAATTAATAAACTCTGATAAAATCGTTAATGTGTTGTTGTATTGTTCATAACACCACCCCTGTAAAAACTTTCAGGATTTAATGTGGCAAATTCAACCGAATCGGGAAATTTCCTTCGGATTGAAAAAACGTCTGAAATTTTTTACAGAGCACAGAAAAATTACGTATTACGTACATTTTAAGGAATACTGAATTCAGAATTGGAACACTGTTAAAGTGACGTGATCGGACACAACTTGATGTTATTCTATCCACACTATATATATATAGAGAAATTCTATTCCAGGCTGACAATGTTATTGTACCAAAATGTTATTGTAAATACTGTAACCAGCGCTGATGTATTTATTATAATACTCTATTTTGCTAAAAATACAACAAACTTAATCACATGAATGAATTAAAATTAATTAAATTTCTCAAATTAGTTGTGTTCTGTTTTTTATTTAATTTAGTCAGGCTAATTAGACACAAATGCATGCGACAAACATACTTGTTTCAAACAGTCATAATTAAATGAACAAAAGAGGAAACTAAAAATTCCCGTGTAAACAAACTCTCGGTTTGGAATGATTAATTATTATAAAAAGGAATTATTCTTAAATATAATACTCTATCTCGAAATTAGTCAGTCAGCTCAATGTTCAGAAGAATATTCGAAATAATATTTTACATTTGCTCGGATTTTTTGTTTAATGGAATAACCTTTACAGAGGTAAATATTGTTTACTTCGCTCGGCTTCAATTACGGGTTGCTTTAGCAAAAAGAATCATTGTAAGAGGAATTCTCGTACTCAAAAACAAAAGAAGCAGATGTATTACGTTCTCGTGTTGTCTTGATTTAGACAAATTAATGCAAATCAACTTGTATGATTTGTTTCTTGACGAAAAATTTAACAGAATTTCCTCTAATAGTTTTCTACCAGCTATTTTTCGTACATCTGTAAGAACAAGATAATATAAAAACAATAATTTGATTTATAGAAAATTTTGTAAAGATATAATACCGAACATCTTCTCACAATAGAACAATTAAGCAGTCTTGCCAAAACACATTATTACTTAAAAACGAATACATTAAGGAATTTAATTTAAGATAGCAGCGTTAGGCTGTTTCTAAGAAGTGGTTACAATTTTTTGGTGAAGGGGACTTCAATCAAAAATAGTGTCCGTACGCCAGATTAGATTAAATAAATGAAATCCATTTTGTCAAACATTAAACGAACGAGACTTCGAAGTCAAGCAAATTAAGAAAAATCTGTACGGATAATTTATTGCAAATTTATCGTATCCATGTTTTGAAAATCTATTTATGATTTAAAAGAAAGCACGATATCAAGTCACAAGTGCAGGAAAAATTGAATTAGAAATTATTCGTAATGTTTGGCGCTCAAACGAATAGGCATTAATGAATTGCTCGTTTTAGGGGAGTTTAAAGCGGAGTAGTATTACTGATTATAATTCATTACAAATTCTGTCGGAGCTTTCGATCGTCGGCTCGCCTCATAACGAATTTTGATATAACGAATTATGTGATACGGCGGATCGATATGGTACAGATTTTAACATAAAAGAATCGCGTTATACTAAATTTTATTAATTAAATACATGTGTAAAGTAAGTGAACCTGCATCTATAAAATGGCTCTTTTTGTAACGAATTTTTTTTGTATATTTATTTTATATCATATGAAATGCAAAATCAGTCAATTATCAGGAAATTTTTGTATTAGACATATTAAATACACTTGTTTAGATATGTATTTGGGACAACAAGAGAATAATTTTGATATGAATTAAAATTGGTTGAAAAGAAGCTTTGAGACAATGTTTTGTTTCCGCAAAGCAAACAAATCTTGAATAGTTTTATTAATGATCAATAGCTAAGTAAAAGCTCGTTTTGATTAAGATTTTATAGTTTAATTATTTATAATTTCTTGTATAAACATAATAATTATTATATTTGTTAGTATCTATTATTTCGCATGATTTTTAAGTGTTCGATATTTTTGGAATACTAAAATATATGTTGTGTAGTTGTTTATTAGTGAAATATTTAACGAATATTAGATATAAGTCGACACCAAGTAAATTTATTGGTTTTCATATCATCATATAGTTTGTGATACCCGCCGACCCAGCTTCTTATTTTTAAGGTCAAAAAATTTTATTTATATGAAATCGATTATTTTTTTACTCCGATAACTACTTCACTACTTCGGGACGTGTTATCTCGCGATCTAGTGATCAGAACGGAGTGAGCTAACTATCATTCGATATGTCTAGTTAAGACATATCGAATGATCGTGAGATATCATATCCCGAAGTTACCGGACTAAAAAAATAATCGATTTTATACTTGTTTGATATAGCCTGCGTGATGTTAATCATGTGACATATGTCGAATTTTGATGAAATTATAATTTGGGCTGGCACTATAATAATACTAACCAATCAGATTAGATCGCATGACAAAAATCACATGATTTGTTTCAATTTTGGACTAAGCTTATAAAAATACCCAACTTTAAATGTTTATAACTTTTTATGTAAGACTTTTTTTAAAATCTGACTGGTGATTTGATAGAGCTTATCTCAAAGAACAATATTACTAGTTTTCTAAATTCCTTGTTGAAAGGTTTTAAAAATGACTCATTATTATTGTTAAGATTTCTTAACCCATATATCCTTTATAACTATGGGTAAAAAATTTGCCACATTAAGCAACGTTGTCTTGGCCGTTCTTCTTACTTCTGCAATTTCTGCAGCTCCCATTAATGAAGAACGTAGTTTCAATATAAACGGTTAAACTCAGGTTCGTTTAATGAAAACGATAACGAAAATTGTGAGCATAGCAGCTTTAAAATGGAAACGATAATTGATGGCGAAACTCAGGCTGGTTCAACAGTAACCATAGATAACAATGCAATTTATATTTGTAATATATATGTATATTAAACATTTCAAATTAAACATTTAATTATATATAAATATGTATTTATAAGATAAATTCGGCTTAACTTTTTGCAGACATCTGCTTTGAAATTCATTGTAGCAGCTTCTAATCTAGCTAATTTCAATTATATAGATGTAGACCAGTTACAACATCCTTAAGTCATAACAGTCGTTATTATGTTTTCTAATTTAGTCTAAAACACAAAATTTCCGGAAAAAAATTGTGCAGATTTTCATGTGAAAGTATTTCCCTCTTGGGTTTTAGATTGAGATTTAAGGAATCGATCATTATAGAAATAGTCAGCTGCTATGTATAAAAACAATCAGTTAGTGCGTGCATACAGCGAATCACTGCATGCAAATAGCCTCATCAAGCAAAGCCTGGAGAAAAATCCCACGGGCGCCATTAAATTCCTGTCCGCACGTATTACACCTAAACATCTTGCTCCCATCCAAGTTGTGTTTGATAAATCCACAGCAACTGCATGAAAGCAAAAAGGTATTAGAAAGGTAGAAAGTAAAAAGGGTAAACAACTGGATTACCTGCACGTTTTGTTTGTGTAAGCTTCTGGGCTGTTTTTGATTTGATTTTTCTGTTGTTAAGTTTAAGAGTAGGGCTGGGTCGTTCAATTCAAATATATAGAGCGGTTTGAACTCGAACCAGTTTGAACCGGTTTTGGTTTTATATATATATATTAGCTGAACCGAAACGAATCAAACCGGTTTCGGTTCTATATTTTAGCTGGAACGAATCAAACTGGTTCGAACGGTTTGACTAATTTGATGAGATTGTATGTGCATTGACATAGTTGGCTCCTGTGGATAACCACAACTTTTGTGCAAGCCAGATCTCTTGCAGTTGATGCCGCTCGCAATGTCTGAGATGAGCTCGTGTCATTCAAGGTCTGTTTTCCGCTTTATGCTTGAGATTCGTGCATAGACGTCATTTTTTGTTTGGTGTTAAAGGAGGACCCCACAATATTTGAACTTCATAAAGTCACACACCACCTGTTTTTTTATGTTGATAAAATTATCAAGTAGAAAAATAGCTGATAGAACTATTGCTGGCAGAGTGATAATTTGAATATTTGCAAAAGAAAAATTTATTAATTATTGGTTTTTCGGTTTTTTAATAACATACATTAAGAACATGTGAATTAATTGAATTACTGCAGCTAGATGGATTACTTATTGTCATAACGATAATATTTTTTACAGTTGAATTTCTACAGTAATTCAAAGATACTAGTGTAGCATAGGACCTAGTGTAGCATAGGACTAAAGTAGTAACCTAACACGATTGCAAGATTCTTATTGGATTCTCTATACTGTATACTATTTTATAAAACTTTGAGAACACAAGCATACAAAAATTACAGACCATCCTTACCAAAAACTGCAAATGTACAAAAACGCCAAATATGAATCAAAATTTACCAAACGCAAATTATTGAATCACCGTAATAATTAAATACCAGTTTGAAACTTGAATATTCGACCGCAAATTCGGTTTTAATATATAAGGGAAAAACATAATGAGGTTTGGTATTTTCGTAATAGAAATTTCTCGAGCATATGTCACAGCTTTTCGCCGTAAATAAAGGCATATTGATGAATGAAAGGGAAAAGAAGACGAACAATTGGGCAGAATATGTTGTGCTCTATGTGGTTCCCCAAAAAAACCTGTTTTTTTCAATTTCAATGAACTTGAGCTAAGAAAATTCAATAAAATGGTTCCTTACGCCTTCCTTCCTTTATAAACATAGATTTCAAAAGAGCTTAACTAAGGTACCGCATGTATGGTGAAAAAACTCATTGTAAATTTACTGTTAATGGTATATTTTTTTCTGTCTTTTGCGATAATGTTCTAGTGAAACAAACATATAGTCTTAACTGAAAACTCCTAATAAACATGTCTTACTTTTATGAATATATATCTGCAAACTTGGCATATATATGAAAATAGTTGCTCGTATTAATGTCAAATAATAAATTAAAAATCTAATCATTTAAGTGGGATTTAGTAGTAAAACATTTTCAAAGCACGATCGAATAGTATTTAAGATTATTATTGTCATTGTTTCATCTTTCCTTTCTCGGATAAAAATTGGATTTATTCTTCCTTTTCAATAGAAACCCGCAAATCGAAAGATTAATCAAACCAAGTTTCTACTTTGAGTATACATGAATGTATTATGTTTACAAAAATGACATTTAGTCTTACAAAAATACTCAAAACTAAAGTGTCACCTTAATTTTGACTTTTTACCTCAAAGATATATAAACAGAGCAATTTCGCTGTAAAATCAGGACCAGCAAATAGGAATAAAATTCAGCAAAATGATGATTTCATGAATTAATAATATATATTTAATAATAATAATAAATATATGAGGTGTATCGAAACAACACAGAGAACTCTGATGAAAAACTGATGTAATGGGATTAAAGCTCATTATATAATCAGATTATGTATGTGTTGGGGGATACTTATTTACAACGCTCTATTTAACGATTTGATCCAGTTAATTCATCACAAATTTCAAATCCATCTTATTATCTTTCGGCGAGGCTTTGGGAGGTTTCTTTTGGGAGTAGTAGTTTTTAATCATCCGGTCTGATCTTCCGGGAAGATGCTCGGCAATTCGGGTCCATTGCCTCTTTAAAGAAACCGCAAGTAACATTATTTGAGCGCCTTCCTCTTCGGTAATGGGAGAATGATCGACTATTAATTACAATGTTAAAGGTCACAAAAGATCGACTTTCGAAAATAAATAAAGGTTTTTACAAGAAACTTACTTACTTTTTGGATCCAAATGTCGAACCCATCTATAAAGAAAAACAACTTCTTTAGTTATGAAAGCGGAAACAAATATATAAAAGAGTCATTTTTGTGGATAAGTAATTAATTACCTCTCGCGTATTTGTTTCGAGTCGCGTTTATAGTTCATTGCTCCCTCTATTTTCTTGTAGTCACTATTATATTCTTTGATAAATTTTCGTAATAATCGATCCTCCTTAATTATTTAGAATAAATATTAATATTGATTCAAATCAAATAAAATCGCAACCGAGAAAATACAGGCAAATAAATAATACATCATCACTCCAAGGGCCTTTAGTTCTTAGGTCATGCATAACTCTAGCAGTTTGAACTTACAAAGAAATTGGTATGTTGAATATTATTTAAGTTGGAAATTCTGAATTTTATGCAAATACAATGAGAAAAACACAATGAGAAAATAGAAATAAGCAGTCATATAAATATTGAGATTCCGATCTGACACGTGCTCGTTCTCGAGGGCCATTTTCAATCGAAATTTAAACTTTATGGTCATTCGTTTTTGGTACTTGCACGTATTTAGCACTTCATTTCTTTTGTTCTGCAAGTATTTTGTTTCAATTTTCTCTATCTCCTGCATTCTTACCAATACTCTGTAAGTTTTTCCTTAGCCAAATCTTAAACGATACATTTAACGCACGTCTCCTTCGCACCTGACCAGAAAAGCTAACTCTATAAGGGAATGTTTGAATGAAGAGGCTCCCAACATAAAAACTGTAATAATTGTATTAAGTAGCGAACTTTAGGTTTATAATACATATAGTTTGGGGTTCAGACTGTGGTAGTTCATGTTCGGATAGCAATGCTAACACAGATGCGTTTTTTATTTTATTACAATTTGTTTGATTGTCGATTAATTAATGTAACAAATAATATTTCACATTTATTTATTACGATGATCGCTTTATATTTATCGAGTGAAGCTAAAGAATAGTCAGTATTTACCTAACGCTAACCGTCGTACTATTCCAAGAAAATTTTAGTCGCGTGCTGATTTGTTCGTTCACATACATCAATGATAATCACGATCACGTTTCATATCGATATCTGATTTGGATTCGTTAATCAATTAAAGTTTGTATCATGGCTTCTTTCCATTCATTAATAACATCATGAGTAACTTTCGCTACCAATCTCTCGTTACATAACCCTGTAGGTATTGGATGTCACACAAGAAACAGATACCCAAGCAATATTATCCGAGAAAATAAATACATGAGTTGACATATGATCCAGACTTTCGAAAAAAAAAAAATAGTAATAATAACAAAAACGTAGGTGACAAAATAGAGTCACGACATAAAGTAGTTTTTAGAAGTCATTTATTATTGAAGATTTTTCACGCAGTCGAGAGAGAAAAGCCAATTGCCTAAATTGATCATTGCAAATTGCATGCTGCCTACCCGCCGAACTTACGTAAAGAACGAGCAAATGAGCCAGTATATATGAGAAAATCGATACTTGTTCTTGTAAAGTTATCTATTAAGATTCGGTTCTTTCATTGATAACACATTTTTAAGAATAATAATAATAATAATATTATTATTATTATTAAAATAGAAAACTTCTCTGAGGCGTATTCTTTGATCATATGATAACTAATGGATAACCGAAAATGATAGCATTTTCCCCGAATAGAATTAGTAAAATAACAGTGATATTCGTCATATTATACTGGTGATAGTTATGCAGGGAACGTTTCAGAAATATGGACTTTTATGTTTTTCCATTGAATAAACTTAAATTTTTTGGTACGCTATCACTATATCAGTCATAACAATATCCTTACTAAATTTTAGGTATGTTAAAAATTCTAGCCTGTTTAAATGAAAGAATGTGAATGGAAAAACCGCTCACGCATCACAAAATGTATCACAAAGTCCCGAGAATTTATTTACTCGAAAAGCCTCAGAGAGTAATTTACAATAAGAGTAATATGCGGTATATACGTAAGAGGAAGGATAGAATAATGAGAAACGAAACAATACCATTGTGATGAATTTGTATTACAATAAATATTTATTATCTGGTTTCACAGTCCGTATTTGCAGATATCATTTAACGTTAATGTTTTTTTGGTATTAGTATAGCGAATTTCATGACAATGGCAAAAATGACCTTCCAATAATCTCTTGCTTCACCCATTCCAAGGATTTTTGGTTTGCTCGATAAAAACGGATGTTCGCTGAGGACACAAAGGCCACATCCTATTTGTCAGCTCTTTTTGGAGTAAGGTGGAGAAGGGAGTCCCCGAAAAAAAAGACCAATGAATTACCAGAAATAGCGCGCGACAATTAATTGACTGCATGCGATAATGGTTAATGCGCTCGACGAACATAATGGTTTCTGGTTAGCCTCTTTTTCATTTTGTAATTTCCCAATCGAGTTCTTACAAATATCATCAGGCAGACGAGAAAACAAAAGCGATGAGAAAAATTCTCGGTGTCACGATTTATTTATTGATGCGGGGTGAATGAACGTTGTGTCTAGCAACAGAAGATTCTTTGTCAGTGATATTTTATTTATTTGTTCTTACTATTATTACCGACCATAAACGGTTTCCCGTCACACATTTTTCACAAGCTTCAAGCAAAAATAATGCATTATCTTATTGCACACAGACATCATCTTTCTCGTCCCATTGTTCATTTACGAGTTGATACCATTGGTGGAATTTTTCGTTCAAAACGGTTTTTTGCGTTATGGATGACAATAAGAATGGTGAGAAAAACAATAGCAATAGGGATATAATTACTTCATTCACATCATTTAGCAGGGTGGGGTGTCGTCAACAACGTAAATATTTGGCTAAAGAACATTGAAAAAAAAGACCATTATTGACGTCGAAACGAAAAACTATACATCCATATTGCATCCAATATATATTTCAATATATATTTCCAATATGTATCTTTCAATATATATATCAAGTAACTATGCAATCGATTGATTTTTTTCTATAATCGATAGCAATTAAAAATTTGGAAAAAAAAAAGACGGGCGTACATGCAATGATGTAACAGACATGTAAAAAAAAGTGCTAATAAAACGTAAATGGATAAAGTTCAAAGCATATACTGTTATTATTTTCCAACGCCAACTGCTGCACATTTTCCCCCAAAATTACCAGAAAGATTTCCCCCGGAACATAATAAATTTTGCAGCATAAACAAAAAGATCCAGAAATGTTACCCCGACCGTTCTCGCATGCCGTCTGCAACAATTAATAATTCAAAATTAGAATATCACCACTTATGCAATTTATATATTCGGAGAAAGTGGGCCGATTTTGAGTACACCTATCATCGAAGTGGTCCTTTCTCTCCGACTCCTCGCTGACACCTTGTTGCATGTGTGTCTGCTGATACCTACTACAACAATGAAAAAAATTTTTGTTAGATCCACCACAACGCAGCATGCGTGAAGAAAGATGCATGTATGCATGCAGTTGACATTTATTAGCGTTGATTGAGAAAAAACTAAAACCAAGGACAGAACAGAGACAAAGATTTTTTCACGCAAAGGCCTTTTTTTAGCTCATTCAAAATTTGAACGAACGAACTATCGAACAACAATCGCTCCCTTTTTACGCATATCTGCAACGCGCACACACTCTCACACACACCCACCCACATAATAAGGATGATGATGACAATAATCTACCATGACAAAATATTCACACATAAATTCTCACCGAAACCGTTTCTTGCTAATCTGATAGGGCGGAATAATTTTTTATATTTATTATATTAAAAACTTGGAAATTTGGGATATTAGAGAGAGAAACGCCACCGCCGACGGAAATGATGATGAGAATTTTTACGATAATATTTGACATTTTAATATGTAATTCTAGTGAAACATACGTGCTTTATCTTGTTGAAACTGCACGTATAATGACGCAACTAAAAAAAATGAGTTTAGTGAGTGAATTTGAAAAATATCTGGACGCCAAAAAAATATGGCATTGATACCGGGATTTTTTTTCTTATTATTGTTAGTTGGTGATATAACTATCTATTAATTTCTAATTAAAGTTAAATACTATGGATATCAATATCACATTAATATATTTTATATATTTTATAATTTATAGTATTTATTATAATAGCGACACGAACTTACGATTACTATTCTAACTGCACGAAAAAAAAACTTCTGAGCGATAAATATATAAATAAAACCGCCAAAAAAACCGTTCCACATTCAACAACAACTCCAACCATCATCGCCAATTTCTAATTAATCTCTCGTAACGAAAAAAAAACGTTGAACGAAACGGAGAACGTCATCTTGTTATTAAATAACGAAATCAAAATATAAATTCGTTTCGTTCACGTATTTCATCAATTACTTCAACAACTACTACTTACTACAAATAACACAACAACAACACAACAATTATAACAAACAAAAAAAAAACACTTTTCTTTACATTTAACAGCACGCGCCTCTTTCTCCATCACAACACAAACCTCGAAACGACTATTTGATAAAGAGTTATCATGAAAAAGTTTTCAATGAATACCAAAACTAATATTAACAATATTAACAATATCAATAATCACATAAATAATGTCAACAAACACACTAACCACTACATCAACATGAAAAACGAAAACAACAACCCGAACACCACAAAGAAACCTGAATACATTGTTGGACCGTGGTCTGAAGAGGTACAGTTTCCGCTTTCGTTTTATGTGTGTATGTATGTTTAACGCGCGTATTTACGTGTCATCATCAATCATCAAACAATAGGAAGACAAACGATTACAGGAATTGTTTTCAATTTATGATAAACAATGGCATTTAATCTCTCTCGCTCTTAAAGAAACTCGCAGCTACAAACAAATTCGCGAAAGGTATTTACAGTTTAGTATTTTTTTTTTTCACGACCACTACGAATTCGACTAATGATAAATTTTTACGCATAACAGATGGGTCAATCACTTGGATCCGAAACGTGAGTACCTTAAAGCTGTTTCATATATCTATAATGCATAAATATCTAACTGAGATTTTTCCTCCTGCCTCCAGTTAACAAAGACCCATTAAGTGACGAGGAGAAAGCCATGATACTGCGCTTGTACGACGCAATGGGCCCCAAATGGGCACTAATCGCCAAAACGTTACCTGCGCGAGGTCGTACCCCCTTAATGATTCGGAATTTCTGGTATAGCGAACAACGAACTGAGTCAACGCGCATTCAAGCGAAAATGTCTATTGAAGCTATCCTGAATAATGATCCGCAACCCACTAAAGACCTAGTCATTCGTAATAAACGACGAAGGAC